AACGTATTCTAGTAAAAATCCCCAAAAAGGGAGACACTAAAAACTGCAATAACTATAGAGGCATAATTTTGCTTCCTATTCCAAGTAAGATACTGAGCCGTATTATTCTAACACGAATTTCAGAAGAAGTGAACAAAACGTTGAGTGATAATCAGTTCGGATTTCGGGAAAACCGCACATGCGTCGATTTAATCAACACAGTCCGCATTGTGTTCGAGCAATGTAACGAGTTTCAGACATCAGTATACGCAGCCTTTATTGACTTCAAAAAGGCGTTTGATAGTGTCAACAGAGGATTTCTTTGGAATATTTTAGAGAAACGACTAGTTCCACCTAAAATAATAAATGTTATCAAAGCAATGTACATGCGTATTCAAATGTCGAGTGTTGCACAACGGGTTGTTATCAAACACATTTGAAGTAGCCACAGGAGTAAGACAAGGGTGCATATTATCAGCACTTCTATTAATACTCGTGGTGGACAAAGTGATGCGAGCGTCCTTAAAAAACAATAGAGGTATCCTGGAACCCATTCATGCAACTGGAAGACGTGGAATACGCAGACGACGTCAGAGACCTACAAGAAAATATTGAAGCACTTAGGATAAATGCAGCAATTGCCGACCTAGAGATTAATTGCAACAAGATAAAAGTAATTGCTAGCGGATACAGCTCAAACTCTTCGCCAGTTAAAATAAAAGAAGAAGCTGTGGAATGCGTGGATAAATTTAATAATCTAGGTAGCATAGTCGCAACTAAGAGTGGTGCGGACGAAGACATTGATTCTCGTTAAATGAAAGTCAAATCTGCATTTGGCATGTTGCGTGTTGTGTGGCGCTCTAACCAAATCTCTACTCGCACAAAAATTCGTATTTACAACTCCAATGTAAAGTCTGTGCTATTCTATGCATGTGAGATCTGGAAAATACAAGAGAGATTGATACAAAAATACAAACTTTTGTGAACAAATGTTTACGACAAGTATTTAAAATATGGTGACCCAACCGCATAACAAACACTAACCTATGGGCCGTTACGAATCAATCATTTGCTACTATGAAGATAAGAAGACGTAAATGGCGCTGGATAGGCCACAATCTCAGCAGACCCAATGGAAACATTGCACGTCAAGCAATGAGATGGAATCCTCAAGGCAGCCGCATATCTGGAGCACCAGATAAAACGTGAAGAAGAACAATTGAAGAAGAATTAAGAGAAGCGAACTATTCCTGGAGTGATATATGCTGCGAATCAAATAACCGAATCCGATATTAAAATATGGTAGAGGCCCTATGCTCCACTGGGAGATAACAATAAAAGAAGAAGAAGCAACTAATCTGTTGCCTGAATATCCTTATTATGATTTTCTAAATTATTTTAAACAAATTAAAACTTAAATAAACATTTAAAAATGTTTGTCAACGTCCATGTTTTAGAAATGATTATGGAAAGCATGATCGATAACAATAATATAATAATTTCAGTACAACTGTTCTCCTTGCTAACCGTGGTATAGACTTGCAAAACTTGACTGAGCGGTAAAGTTGCAGTTTGAACACACACTAAAAATAGACGTGTTTATGTGTTACAAGAAACTGTTTAACACTTGGCTGTATCCTAATCTAAATTGTGCTAGAACAGTTCATTCTGCAAGGGTAGATGCCGTTTTTCCTGATAAGAATTAGGCGGAAGCCTGTTGGGAACCTAGTTGTGAGTCAATTTAGGTACCGAAGAGGATACTGTATCTGTGTGAAGAGCTACGAAACCAAGTTTGTATTCGATCCACTGCTGTTTTACTCCATTGCAAAAGGTGTCGACATATGTGTGGTAAAAAGAAAGGGATCGACAAATGCATCTAGGAGATAGGGCTCTACTAGTCATGGCGTTATTGTATAAATTGAATATAATTGGTGAAAGACCGCTGTCCTGGGGAACACTTTACTTAAATTTTCTGGTATTTGACATTTTATCTTCAAAACCAAATAAGGCTGGTCTGCCAATGAGTTAGTTACTGAGCCAATTAACAAGGTATGTTTAGTGCCTTTGCTAGGTGAAGGCCTTCTACCACCATGCGTTTGCACTGCCAATTTTGCTTTACGCTATTGGAGATTTGAGATGTTATATCGCAAGAGCAGAGTCGGTGCTATGACGTTTGCGAGATCAATATTAGTGAGGGGCTAGGTGAATATGTGCTGATATCTATTTTAGAACTGAAGACTCCACAACTTTGGCTACTAGAATTAGAAGAGATATTGGCCTATATGGTTCACAGAAACCAGCGGGTTTGCCCGGTTTAAACAGAGGGATTATCCTCCCAGTCTTATATATGGTTGAGATGATGTGAGAACTGAAGAAGGAGTTCAGAATCTGAGCTAAAAGCGTCAGCGGTCCCAAACTGTTTTAGCATTAGGATAGAAATTCCATCAGGTACAAATGCTTTCAAGGCCTTGGTTTGTTTGATCACGTTGTACACATCATCAGGGGAGAACAGCGTTTATGTTTACTCTTAGCAAGAGAAGCAGTACACTGGGCATGAAAAGGCGGCCAAACTGCTGGAAGCAATGCTTAGGATCAGGAATGGTGATCCCATGAGAAGTTATCGCCTTGTTGTTGTAACGAGAAGGATAAGGTAATGCTTTAAGGTAAGTCCTCAATTCATCATTTTGGGAATCACAATTATCTAAATGTTCCCTCCATCTCCACCTTCTTCGTCTACCACTTTACGGATGTCTCTATTCAGGATAGTTATGCGAAAATTTTCCGAGTCGAGTCTTCGAAAATTATCACTTTCATTGGCAAAGGGCACAGCGTCTGTAGGAAAATTTGGTCTTATAACATTAATGGTACTTGCAGGAACATTTGTGGCAGCAGCTTTCATAATTATGCATGGAAATTGTTTCTTTGCCTTATTTAAATCAGAGGACTGAGAAATATTGCAAAAATCCTGTTCAGAAACATTCTTAGGTTAGCAACAATTGCCAACAAAATTTGAATTCCAACCATAGTGCGAAGTCAATTCAGAGCAAGATCTAACATGACATCATCCGTTGCAAGTATTGCAACCAAAAGAGGTGGTGGTCCCAGAGATTGCTATATTGCAAAATATGCATAGCCAAGTGTAGATGACTACATTAAATTTTTAAAAATTATAAACATTTTATGACGGATTATTTCCATATATTTTATATACATACGTATTTATATATAAAAGAAACATAACGTTTTTAAAGTTGATATCGTTAATAAAAGCACTTTGTTTTTGATATTCTTACGGTAGTTGGTACTTTGATATCTTGCTGCGATGCGTTGTTTCTTGCTTTAGTTCTTGCTGTGCTGTCTTGGTGCTACATCTGCTGTCAACTGCGACGCTTTGTTTCTCGCTTTACTTCTCGCTGCGCTGTCTTGCAGCTACATCTGCTGTCAACGCTTTGCTGTTTTTTGATTGCGTTTTGGTTTTACGTATTTTTCTAAAATTTGTGCATCCTTTGCTACGCTACTTTTGGTTCTTGTCGCTGCTGTGCTGCTGCGTTCGATTTATTTCAGTGTAATTATTGTTGCGTGTTATTTTCTCTATTTTCGATATATCAATTGTTCACAATATTTTGATTTTTGCATCTACGGCAATTTAATTGGATTTTAGTATGGCTACTGAACTAAAACAGCAATGTGCTAACTCGAAGAAGAATATTACTCGGATCAGGAATATCATAGAACGAAATGCAAAATCAGACACAATGATTTAATCGCCTATTGAATTAAAATGCCGTTTAGGCATTTTGGAATCGTACTTCACGTAGCTAATGAGCTATCAAACTCGAATTGAAGAATTGGACATAATGAGACATAATGAGAGGCAGCAATGAGAAACAGCAATGTGCTAACACGAAGAAGAATATTACTCGGATCAGGAATATCATAGAACGAAATGCAAAATCAGACACAATGGTTTTATCGCCTATTGAATTAAAATGCAGTTTAGGCATTTTGGAATCGTACTTCACGCAGCTAATGAGCTATCAAACTCGAATTGAAGAATTGGACAGAATGAGAGGCGAGCTTAAGGATCTATATGTCAACATCAAAACATCTATTTAAGAGGGTCATCAAATACGAGATTGCCACCGTTCAAAATTGCCGTCGTTTAGTGGAACATACTCCGAATACAAAAATTTTATTTCGTCTTTTAATCAAATCATTGTCATATATTGAAAAATTTAATCATTTGTTAAACTGTTTACATGGACAAGCATTGAATACCGTAAAGGCTTTTCAAGTTAGTAACGAAAATTATCCAAAAGCACTTCAGAGATTGAAATCCCGCTATGATAATAGCAGTTTCATTTTTATGAAAAATATTGCTTCACTGTTTGAATTGCCACATATATCAAAGCAAAGTTGTAGCCATCTTAGAAGTCTGGTTGACAATGTGTCTGCAATCTACGATTCGTTGCGTTCAATTGGCTCCGACAAACAAACTACAAATGCAATTGTTCACGGTTTCATCATATAATGCTTCATCGAGCTCAAAATACATCAAGTACATTTTTGTTATCGCCAGCACCTCAACGATGCAAACTACATCAGCTACAAATACACAAATACAAGGATAAAACACAAAACCTCGACTAATATAAAATCTTGCCTTGCTGATTTCGAAATTCCACTTGATTTTTGAATCACTTCTCATATTTTGTACCAGCATCAATCACAAATTGATATTTCTTCTTGGAATTTACCAGCAAACACTAAGCTTGCAGATGAAAATTTCTATAAATCAAATCGTATCGACCTATTATTAGGAACAGAGACATTCATCGATATACTTTCCTTAGGACAAATCAAACTTAGAGATAACTTACCTACGCTTCAAAAAACATTGCTTGGTTGGGTTGTGTCAGATAAGTATAATTCTGGCACTCTAAATCTTCTACTTGCTTCCTTTCTTGTAAAGAAGCCGTTAATTTCAATATCGAACAGTTGTGGAAATTAAATGAAATTACCTAAGCACCTAAGCTGACTGATGAAAAATCTAATTGCGAAGCTGAATTTTGTAACACTGTTTCACGCAATGCTAGTGGACGTGTAGTTGTTCGATTGCTATTTAAGGAAGGTTATTATTTCGTAACCTTGATGCTTCATTTACAGTCTCAATAGTTCCGCAGAACTGTTGCCAGGAATTTCTCTTTGCAGTTTTAATTCTGCTTTTATACCATACATATTAAAACTGACTTTATAAAAGTTGCAATCCTCTTCTTGCTGGCTACTTTTTGCCTTGTTGAAGAGGTTTCTGGATGTAGTTTTCAGCAGCCTCAATTCCGCACTCCACCAAGCCGGTTGAGGCTTAGTTTTTGACCTAGTTAGGGGGCAAGCTGATTCAAAAGATTTATTCAAGATACCCGTAATGCGATCGACCGCTTTATCAATGTTTGCGTTCCCTTGACCAATTTTGACGTTTGTCCGAATTAGCTTTTGGCTCACAAGTTTCGAAAAGTTTGACCAGTCGGCATTTTTGGAATTTCTGTATGGTCTTGGACTCTTAACTTCTAGATTGATGGTGAAGTGTATCCAACAATAATCCAAAAAGTAGTGCGTGTCTGATACCCTCCAATTGTCTACCTTAAAGTATTTAGAGTCAGTGGCCACCGTAATATCAATAACTTCTTCCCTAACCCTGTTTCGAAATGTTGGCTTATTGCCTTTATTGCATAAAGTTAGGTTAGTAGAAAGAATAAAATCGAAAATGGACTCACCCCTGCTGTTGGTATCACTGCTGCCCCAGCACTCGTGATGTCCATTTGCATCGCAACCAGCTACCAGAAATAATCCTCGTGATCCTGCATATGCAGTCAGTGCTCGAAAGGCTGTTGGTGTTGGTTCTTCTTCATCGTACGGAAAATATGCGGACGTTAACAGTAGGCTAGGCCTGTGCCTTTGTTCACATACTACCGCTGTGAGATCTCCATTGTTCTAAGAAGTTAAGGGAAAAATATTAAGACTTTTTTTTGCAACTATACAGGTTCTAATCTTACCTTGTGTATGTGGAGTGTAGAGATCATACCCACTCAGTCCAAGTCCGGCGACCTTGCCTTTGACAAGCCATTGTTCTTGGACAATTGCCACGTCCACATCACGCTCCGCGAGGTACTTAATCAGGTCGAGCGAGGCTAGGGTGGAGTGGTGCAGATTAATTTGCACTACCTCCAGCCTTCCCTCTGCTGGTTTGAGGCCTGTCACCTGGCACCCGAACCTTTAGAGAACCTAGCCCGAATTTGATGGTTCCTTCCTTTTTTAAAATGGATAGAGACGGTTGATCCACAGCGATTAGTATGTCACTACCTGTTCCGCTTATACAGACAGCCATATTCACTATCTGCCATTCAGATGTTTTCAGCGCCTGATTTTGCCGTTCGATAAGTTTCAAAATGACGTCCTTGTCCGGAACCAGAGGTGGGCCCCACAGGGATACAATCGGGCGTACAGGAAGCTGAGAGCGAGGAACTACTTCGAGTTGAGCTCCCTACCAGAGTGTGCCAAGACTTTCGATTGTTCGCGTAAGGAAATCCATGGACTTCTTGTTGCCGCAACCAACAACCTTAACACCTTTCTGCCATCCAGCTCCGTCGAACACTAATTCCTCACTATCCGTTTCCGTCATTGCTGTCATCAGACGCGCCTCAACGAGTAGCCAATTCTTAGGTGTTATCTTCCCATCAGGGTCGACTTTGTCTATGATGGCTACTTCCAGCTCCATTGGGGATTCAAAAGAGGCCGATAATTTGGGCTTTTTTGAGTCCTTATGTGTCTCTTCTTCAGACAGTGCCCTTTTTGTGGCTTTGCCCGTCGAAGAGGAGGGTATCATTGTAGAGGATCCTGTGGGTTTGGTCTTTGGTGGCAGCTTAAGGCTACTATTCTTGACCGCGCTCGTTGGATCCGCTTTGTCTGCTGTTGAAGCGATATCCTTAACGGACTTTGCTTCCACTTTGGACTGCCCTTGTTTTCCTAATGATTGAGCTGTAGCGTTGTCTCTTTCCAACTTTGTCACAGCCTTTTTATGTTTCCTAATTAGGTCCTTTTCCCTCTTCGTGAAGGAGGAAGAGTCCCTCGCCGTCATTTTCCTTAGATAGTAGACCGATCGCTTGTAGCCATTCCTGACCTTCTGCTCCTTTGTTACTATCTCCAATGCGGCTCCATCCCCCGCATTGAAGCCTTGGATGAGGAGAATTGAGGAGGACCAAGAAAAAGTTATTCAACCTCTGGACTGATGTCATCGACGTTGCTAGCCTGTGATAAGGAGTCATCGTCGGTTGCTGCGTAAGTTCAGAAAATGAGACCCGATTTGATCTCCCTCACCCCCCTCAGTCAAGGCTCATTGCCTACCCAAAGTTGGCTTGGAGACCGCACCCTGTCCATTATTTTTATCAGAAACTTCTAATTTGAAAGTTGAAGTTAGATTTGAGTTTGCATTTGAATTTGAATTTGAATTTGAGAGGTCACAGGATCTCGACGCCAGGTACCCCTCTTGCTCGAAACTACCGCCGGTACTGGGGATCCGATTCCCTGCACCGTAACTTTAATATTCTCAGCTGACATTAGTCATGCATAAACGCTTCCTCCCTGTAGGGTTTCTTTAAAAGTCTGCCACCTTATGCACAAAAAGACTTGGACTCGACCACCCCTGACATGGAAAAAACAGACGTCGTTGTGTGCCGCCCCTAGTTTGGGGAGAAACAGACGCACACAGGCAGGTTTTAGTTGGTTGCTCATCTGCCGGCCTGTCTAACATGGGAAGCCCTATCAGGAGGTAGCATATCATTGTATGACTACCCCCGTTAATGAAGCCCGACGAATCACTGCAGCCCTAAGCCCCCACACCACGACAAGGTACCTACCAAGTGGGGGACTATTTAAGGAAACATTCATTTCACTTGGACCTTCACGAGATATCGCTTTTCGAAGATTCACTACATTGGAACGTCGCTTGTCACATATGCCAGAAATAACGGCACAATATGTTGCATATATGATTGAATATGAGAAACTTCGCCATATGACCCGGATCGAAGGACCTTATCTTCGTACATCCCACTACTATATACCTCAGCATTGCGTGCTCAAGCCAAATAGCACTTCTACAAAGCTTAGAGTTGTGTTTGACGCCTCATGTCGTACTACAACGCAAAAATCACTTAATTCAGGAAGATTTGTTTACGCTTTTGTTACGTTTCCGCCATTATCGCTACATCATTACTGCAGACATAGTGGAAATGTTTAGACAAATCTTAGTTGACTCACGTGACCGCTATTTTCAATATATTTTATGGCGTACTTCAGAAAGTGAAGAGATACATACCTATAAACTCAATACTGTTACATACGGAACAGCAAGTGCACCGTTTCTAGCTGTGAGAAGCCTACACTACTTGGCTGATGAATATGTTTTCGAATTTCCAATTGGTTCAAAGGTGATCAAGTCATCATTCTACGTCGATGATTTTCTATGCGGAGCAGACTCATTAGATGAATTGTCAACAATAAAATATGAAGTCTCTAGTATTTTACGAAATGGTTGTATAGTACTCGCTAAGTGGCATTCCAACGTGGAAACATTTGTCGACGATATCACTATGAAGGATTTAAACCTCACTGATATTTCAATCACTAATGCATTGGGCATTATGTGCGATCAGAAGCAAGATCAATTTTTGTTTTCATTTTCACCAATAGATCTTCACAAAGGTAATTTAACAAAACGCTCTATTTTATCGCTCGCTTCATCACTATTTGATCCACTTGGACTGCTTGCGCCACTACTTATTACTGCAAAAATAATTTTACAAGAATTGTGACTACTCAAATTAAATTGGGATAAGACAATACTTCTTATCTTAGTTGGCCATTACAGACGTGTGTCGTCCTTGGCCGCGTCGAGTAGCCTCCGCCAGTCAGCCCGATTAGTTGCTTTCTGACGTCAGTTGGTAGTACCGAGCGCCCCCAAATCGTTGGTCACCTGGTCCTTCCACCGAAGATGCGGACGTCCTCTACCGCGTTTTCCACCTGCGGGTACCGAGTCAAATACCTTTCTAGCTGGAGCACTTTCTTCCATTCGCACGACATGACCAAGCCAGCGTAGCCGCTGAATTTTTATGCGCTTAACTATGTTAATGTCGCGGTATAGCTCATACAGCTCATCGTTCCATCTAATTCGATACTCGTCGCCAACGCGTAAGGGATCATAGATCTTTCGAAGAATTTTTCTCTCGAATGCTCCTAACGCCTTCTCATTACTGTTGGTAATTGTCCAAGCTTCTGCACCATACAGCAGGACAGGCATGATAACGGATTTGTGAGCGTGATTTTTGTTTGTCGAGAGAGGGCTTTATTTCTCAATTGCTTACTTAGCCCGAAGTAACATTTGTTGGCAAGAGTAATTATTCGTTGAATCTCTAGGTTGACGTCATTTTTGGTGTTTAAGCTGGTTCCTAAATAAACAAAGTCTTTCACAACTTCGAACTTATAATTGTCAACAGTAACGTAGGTCCCAAGACGCTCAGGAGATTTGTTTGTTGACAGAAAGTACTTTGTTTTGTCCTCATTTACCACAAGACCCATTTGCTTTGCTTGTTTTTCTAAGTTGGAAAATGCCGCACTGACGACGCGGTGTTCAGACAATGATATCAATATCGTCGGCATACGCAAGCAGCATTACACTTTTGTAGAATATTGTGCCAGTACGGTTTAAATCTGCTGCTCGAATTATCGTTTCCAACATTAGGTTAAAGTAGTCACACGACAAGGAGTCACCCTGTCTGAAACCTCGTTTGGTATCAAACGGCTCGGAGAGGTTCTTTCCAATTCAACGTCATTTTACATAGCCGTATAAGTTTTGCTGAGATACCAAATTCAGACATAGCGGCATAGAGTGTGCTTCTAGTCGTAGTGTCAAAAGCAGCTTTGAAGTCGACAAATAGGTGGTGTGTGTCGATTTGTTTTTCTTGAGTCTTCTCCAGGATTTGACGCACTGTCTGGTCTAGAGTGGATTTGCCAGGTCTGAAGCCACACTGATAAGGTCCAATCAGTTGGTTGACGATTGGCTTTAATCTTTCACATAGTACGTTTGACAGAACCTTATATGCGATATTTAAAAGACTGATCCCGCGGTAGTTGGCGCAGTTTGCAGGATCACCTTTTTTGTGGATTGGGCAAAGCACACTTAAATTCCAATTGTTGGGCATGCATTCATCCGACTAAATGTTGCGAATTAGCTGTAGCATGCATTTTGATAGCTCTTCGCCACCAGCTTTAAACAGCTCAGCCGGTAAACCATCGGCGCCTGCAGCTTTGTTGTTTTTGAGCCGCGTTATAGCTGTTTTAACTTCATTATGATCGGGAGGCGGGACGATTATTTCATCGTCAACGATTGAAGATTCGGGATCATCTTCGCTTTCAGTCACATTGCTACTACCGCCATTTAGTAGTTTCGAGAAGTGATCCCTCCAAATATTAAGCATGCTTTGGACATCTATCACCAGATTACCGTTTTCATCTTTGCAGGAATTAGCTCCGGGTTTATAACCATTTGTCAGGCTTTTAATTTTTTGATAGAATTTTCGAGCCATATTCCTGTCGCCCAGCTTCTCAAGCTCTTCGTACTCACGTCTTTCTGTTTCCTTCTTTTTTCGCCTGAAAAGACGTTTCTCTTCCCTTCTCTTTTGCCGATATCGCTCTTTAACAGCGCGCGTCGCAACTGACCGCAGGGTGGCTTGATATGCTGCGTCTTTCTCTGCGGTAGCATTGCGACACTCTTGGTCGTACCAGCTGTTTCTTTGTATACGGTGATAGCCGATCACCTCTTCTGCAGCGGTACGCATAGAGTTAGAGATGTGGTTCCATTGCGCGCATATATCGGCTTCTTCAGATGAGTTTTCCAGATATTGGGAGAGTCGAGTAGCGAAGTCATAAGCTGTCTGTTGTGATTGCAGCTTTTCGACGTCTAGCTTTCGCTGTGCTTGTTCACGTACCTTTTTCATCGCACATAAACGTGTGCGGATCTTGGCTGCAACAAGGTAATGATCCGAGTCGATGTTGGCTCCACGGATAGTA